TTAAAATGTGGGATAAAAAACTTAAAAGCCTAAAGCGATTATGAATTAAAGTGGATGATAGGCTTTTGTCATTTGCGTAGACATTTTTTTGTATTATTTTTTTGTCAGAGATCAGCTCGTACAGCGGGTCCCATAGTACTATCGCCGCTAAGTTAATTATTTCTTTTTTTTCTTTAGGGAGCAAGGAGCAGACCGAAGCTTTTATTAAACTTCAGAATATAAATAGCCACCTTTTCACTAACACTCTGCAGCTGTGGCATGGCGGTACAAGAATGAATCCATTTATTCTTCTTACGCTGCTGAGTAGTTTCATTAACCCTCATACTGTACTTAACCTGCGATCTTAATGAAGTATACGTCCTCTTGTGTTGTGCTGTGAAAACTGTAGTTTTTCAATGTGGGTTTAAGACATTATTTTCCATGTTTCACCTCTTCACTCATTTTATGTTGATGTTACTTGGATAATTTTGGAGAAGTTGGGCCTGCAGGGGAAGTAACTCCTCTGCAGACAAAAAAGAAATGGGATAACCTAAAAAATAAATACAAAGTATGTGCATGTGTAATGAAGAATATAATTTGTTTGTGCAGCGGTTAATACATGTAAAGTTTTTTTTTAAAAGTTTGTTGCTCTTTTTGCCAACTGTGATGTCTTATTTCCTCTCTTCAGGACTGCAAATATCCAGGCGGGTCAGGGGGAGGAGTTAGTGGGAAGCTGCAGCAACTTGGCCCTGGTTTGTCCTCATGGATGAGGTTTTAGGACAGAGGTCTTCCACTGCACCTTCTGTCCCAATTACTCCATCATGGAGGACACTCCAGGTCCAAACACAGCAGTGGGTGACCAGGAAGACAGGGCTGAGGAACAAAGAGAGGAACGGGAGAAAGAGGCAGCAGGACAGAGAGGATGGATTTCTTGAATTGATCAGAGAAGACATGAGGCAGCAGAGAGGTCGAATGAAAACAGGGACAGAATGGAGAGCCTTTTCACAGTTCTTGAAAGAATTGCCAATAAATGAATTAATTGTTTTGTTGTTTTTTTATGTTCTTGAAAAACATTTGTTTTTTTGTTTTAAATTTGAAAAATAAAGTGATTACAAAAACTAGTAATTGTCAATAATTCATTTTATTAACAGTAAGTTCATTCAGTCACGAGGTGAGAGGCAGGGTGCACCTGGACAGGTGACATTGTATCATTCATCTAAAACTGACTGATTGTTGTCACGAGTGGTAAACTAACGTCATCTTCCCTCTGAAAACAATATCAGAACAAAATGACTGTGTTCCCCAGAACATTGTTGTGAACGTTGCCCCCTCTGGTATCAACAACCTGTTGATACAGGTTGATTAAACTAAGTGACTGGGCCAGACCTCTAGGTTCTAACTAAAAATGATCATTAAAAAGTGTTAAGTTAAATTTTCAAACAAAGGTCAAGAGCAGCAGCTCAGCAGAGCCAGACATGTATCTCCTGAATGTTTCGGGCTCTTTGGTGCCCTCTCCTGGAGAAACGGTTGCATCACGTCTTCCTGTCATGTTTTTGTGCTCTGACCAGCCAAACATGGCCGTACTTACAGTTTGAAAAGGGTCTGGTGCTCAGAAACATCTGTATCTCCCAACCACTCAGAAACATCTGTATCTCCCAACCAATTAAATCTGAGCCAGTGGGCGGGGCTTAAACACTTCAAACTGAAAGAACACAAGATTAATTTACAGTCTGCAGTAAAAAAAAAAGATCCCTGCAGTGCGTGTGTGCGTGCGTGCGTGTGTTTATGAGTTTCAAATAAATATTTAGCACATGATGCAAAATTCAAAGCAGCAGGGGCCCCGGCTTTAGATCCGTTCTCGGTGTCGGTGAACTCTGCAGGAGATTGTCACGTTACAATACCCATGATGCATTGCAAACGTTTTCATACTTTTTATGTTTGTAATGGCCTATTTGAAAGTGACAAAGTGGTTAGCTCAGTCGTGTCAGGTAGTTTTACTCTGTTCGACTGATTATAGCTTCACGTTCTCCTGTTTCCTGGAAAATCTTGCTAAAAGAAGTGGCTTCAAACATCTGCTGAGCTCATGGGAAAAACAACGCAAACATGTTCTTGTTCTTAGTTTTCTACATCGCCTTACAGCCTAGCTGGGGTTTTATTACATTTTTTAATACCATTTTATTTTCACCTGTTCTTTTCTGTTTGTACGCATCCTTTATGGCTGTCTATTGTTGTCGTTGTTGTCCACTGTTGTCATCACTCTGTTAAAACCAGGTCTCTCTTGTAAATGAGTCCCTGAGGCTCAGTGGGATCAACCTGTCTAACTAAAGGTTGAATGAATGAACATTTGAACTAAAAAGACTATTTTCTACATTATTTAATACATTTCACACCTTCGCGGGTAGGAGGGTGTATGTTTGGACTGTATCCAGTGTATCCTGTTACTTTTATCTTGACCCAACAATGACTACTTTGAAAGCACGACTGTAAACTTCAGAGGACATTGCACTGAAATAATTGTATTTGTATTCAATAATAAACATAAAACAAACCCTAAATATATGAGAGCTTAGCAAAGACTTGGTTTTTCCTCTGATTACGTTTTTGTAAATACTTAAACTTTGAGTATTTCAACAATTTCTCAAGATTCAAATTTTTGTTTTCTTTTACAAAATTGTGCTTTTGTCTCCACATTCATTTAAAAGTCTGGCATTTACTTAATGTTTGATTTTTGACTAGAGAAACTAAATAATATAACAATTTAATAATAATAATAATATATGCAAATAATGTTATTGTGTATGGATACATCGTTGTTTCGTATTGCTCATATTTCCTGCTGCGTGTTTCAGTCATCAAAGATCTTTAGAGTGACGAGAAAAATTAAGTTTCTAGTTCTTCTACATTTGACTTCTGCTCCACTACAATTTAGAAGAAATGTTGTTTTTCTTCTTCTTCTTTTGGCTGTTCCCTCTTCAGGGTCATCACAGTGAGTCATCCTCCTCCATCTCTGTCCTCTGCATCCTCTGTCCTCTCTCCAACTACCTCCATGTCCTCTCTAACGAGCGGCTTCGGATGTTATCAGTCCATCAAATGGCCGTTATTAGTTGTCATCATCCCCACAGGGTGCTCTAACTGCATCCACTCCAAACCATCTCAGTCTGGTCTCTAACTTTATCTCCCAGTTGTTCAACATGTGCTGTACCTCTGACGATCTCATTCCTAATTTTATCCAGCCTAGTCCCTCCTGAGGAGAACCTCAACATCTTCATTTCAGCTACTTCCAGTTCTGTCTCCTGTCTTTTTGTCCATGTCTCTGTCTCCAGACCATACAACATAGCTGGTCTCATCACTGTCTTGAAAACTTTTCCTTTGACCAACAAAGTTAAGTCAGGTCCTCTGGACGGATAAAAAAAAAAAAAAAAAACTTGTTGAAACGTTTTGTCTTTTATCCAAAACACTTCATGAGTCTGAGGAGCTATAATAAACTCAGTCTTATAAATAGCACCTTCTCATAATGGATCAAGGATCTCATGGATTGTTGATGACAGCCAGAACCAGCTGATCACATGATCAAGAAGGACCATCAGCCTAACAATGGATCATTAGCACACTGATGGCTGTTTACTGTTCACAGAGGGCTGAGTGATACTAGCAATCACAGCATTGTAAGAGGGGGACAGTTGAACCTGGAGGTCTCCACCCCTGTTTAATGATGGACGGTTTCTTTTCACAAAGATGGCCTCCTTTACTCCTCTCTCAAACCATCGTTCCTCTCTATCCAGGATGTGAACATCTTCATCCCTGAAAGAGTGACCGCTGGCCTGGAGATGAGTGCAGACCGCAGAGTCCTGGCCTGATGATGTTGATCTTCTGTGCTGGACCATCCTTTTGGCCAGTGGCTGTTTAGTTTCCCCGATGTAAGACTGTTCACAGCCCTCCTGACACTGAACAACGTACAAGTTCTGGATGTCAACAACAAACTGGCTGATCCACTACATAAGAAGGGTCCATATAGGACCTGACTTAACTTTGATTCTAGAAGAATCCATCCAGATGATCTGTCCAGAGAACTCATCCAACAGGTCTGTCCAGAGGACCCGTCTTGTAATAATTTTGATTCTTAGAAGAATCCATCCCAGTGACCTGTCCAGAGAACCTTTTCAAAGGACACATCCAGAAGACCTGACTTCTGTTAGACCCTGGGCAGCTGTGGTTGAGTGGTTAGAGCAGTCGTCCTCCAATGTGAGAGTTGGGGGTTCGAATCCAACAGCAGTCACATGCCGAAGTGTCCCTGGGCAAGACACTGAACCCCTCCTTGCCTCTGATGTGTGTCCCATCAGTGCATGAATGTGATAAAAGCTCTGAGTAGTCTCTTTAGAATGAATTGTTCAATTAGCTTTGTATAGATCTAGTATAGAGCTGTATGAATGGGTAAATGAGGCACAGATTGTTGTAAAGCGCTTTGAGTATCTCGCTAAGACAGAAAGATGCTGTATAAGTAGAGTCCATTTTACCCTGAACCTTCGTCACATTTTAATTTTGCTGCTTGTTTGTTTCTTTCAGTGTTTTCTCTAAATCACTTCTAGTGGTTCTGTTGGGTCCAACAAGCCTCCTGCTGCCTTTGGGCTGCACTTTTAAAGCCAGGTCTCGTGGGTGGTTTTGACCCTAGGGCAGCAGCAGGGTCAGTGGTTCTGCTTGTGGTGGATGCTTTCATCTCTAATTACAGACCCGGGGCTGCACTTTGAGCTCTCTGAGCTCATCCTCTTGAGAAAAAGCAGCGCGTCTGATTCTCACGAAACAAAACGCGCACACGCATTAAAAAAAAAAAGGCTCGCGCCCGCCTGAGAGTCAGTTGAAGCAGCCAGTCGACAGCACAGGTCTGGGATCAGTCCTCCGTGTCAGCTCCAGCCGAACCGGGGCAGACCCGAGCTGTTCCGGGTCTGAGCACCCCCCCTCCGGAGGATGCGGAGCGGCGGACCCGACTGAAACTTTACTGGCGAACACGGAGCGGAGAGGCAGGAGGTGAGCGAGGAGCTCCGGGGCTGATGGAAGGCTGTTCAAACTAGACCCACCCGGCTCCGGAACACCATGGCTGTGGACGGTATGTGCTTGAACGAGCTCATTTTCAGGGCACGCTGCGTGGACTTGTTGTTGTGTGCAGACTCTGTGATGAGGTCAAAGCTTCCATCAGCATCAAAAACTGGGTTAGAGTGAGAAGCTGCAGGGCAGCCTGCAGGATGCACAGGGTGCTGCATGCAGGTCACACAGCTGTAGCACAACTTCCATCAGCAGCTGCAGCAGGGTTTTAATAAAACCACCCTCTGTCCAAAACTGGCAGTTTAGTTTCTGAGCTTTTTGTCCAAAACAAGAGAAATGAAAAGAAAACAAGGCCCAACAAATGTCTTTAATTATGTGAAAGCAGAACGTCAGCGTTAGCAGCAGCTCTGTGAGGGAGGGAGAGCTTCAGAGCAACAGTTCAAAGACCTCCTGATGATGCTGAGGTGCCTTCATGGACCCAGTTTGCCTCAGATTCTCAGCAGGAGGCCATGAGTGACAGAGAGGGGAGGCACAATGCTAAAAAAAAATCACTTTTCATCTACTCAAGACAAGAACTCTGCTTTCTTCTCGTGTCTTCATAGATTTCCTTTGTCATCTCCAGATATTCAAAATGCATGTTGAGTCACAAACACAGCTGTGCACGTAGTTTCACAGCTGTGCACGTCGTTTCAGACTGAGAAGAAACCTCCCCTTCCAGTGTGTGATGAATGTGTAATGACCCGAGGCTCAGTGAGTGTTTACTATAGTTCTGGTAATTACTGGATGTGCAGACGCTGCCTGCAGGCCTCCTCGTAATGATGAGAAGTTGTCTCACAGCTCTGACATCTGCCTACCTCCTGGGTGATCTGAATACCGGCTGCAGGGTCTGCGCGTGTTAATGGAGCAGGTTTCATCATGACACCAAGTCCAAGCCCGACTCTTGTTCTCAGGCCTGGAGGAGCTCCACAGTCTTTTTATCTCCACCAGCAGGGTCTGATTGTTGTGCTTCTACCTTTCCAGCTGCATCCAGTTTCAGCTTCTGCAGACCAGCTGTGGAGTACCGAGCTCTGCCCGAGGACTTCAAGCAGCAGCTGGGCCGGCGGACAGGTGGGAACCTGACCTGGCACGACGGGCGGGGACAGAAGACAGCAGGAGGCAGGACGGTGAAGCTTCTGCAGCAGCCGGGCACAGAGGCCTTCCAGGTAAACCCTCTTCAGGTTGAGATGGAGAATTCTTTCCCAGCAGAGGAGATTAGCTCATCGTTCATTAGTCTGGGTGATAAAGTTTACCTGCTGTTAACTGAGACCAAGCACTCACTACTTAAACCATTTTTCTTCTTCTGATCCAAGGCTGGATTATTTTAAGTGCTGATGCACTGAACTGAATCATCTTTATTGCATCCTTATTACATCCTCATTACATCCTCATTACATCCTTATTACATCCTTATTACATCTCATTACATCCTTATTCTATATCCTCATTACATCTCATTACATCCTCATTACATCCTCATTTCATTCTTATTACATCCTTATTACATCTCATTACATCCTTATTCTATATCCTCATTACATCTCATTACATCCTCATTACATCCTCATTTCATTCTTATTACGTCCACATCTCATTACATCCTTATTACATC